GGCCTTTCATGGTTTTTATTTTATTTTTACATTTTCATAATATTATTCAACATTTTTTTTCCAATCAATGAATATTTATAAAAAATCATGATTTTTTGCGCAAATCAAATTTTAAAATCAGAAGATCGTTGGGAAAGGTGGGCTGCTGCCTAAGGATCCGCCAGTGTGAAAAATCAAAGGAAGCCGGAAAACAACAAGAAGAAGAAAATCTAGTCCCGGCCCCGCAAAAAAAATAAAAAAAATCTACTCCCCATCACGGCCGAACTGGGTCGGCCCATCACGGCCGCGCGTACGCGCTACCCCCCAACGGCGGTGAACCACCCACCCGTGGCCGCAGGCGACAAAGGCAAGGGCGAGCCGCGAGACCGAGGAGGCAGCTGCGAGGACGGCGGCAAACCCAGCGCTGGGGAGGAAGGAAGGATGCGGCGCCTCTCTCCGCTTGGAGGAGCTCCGCGCTGGGACCGGCGCTGCCAACCGCCGGCAAGGGCAGAGATCCATGGCGCCACCATGGCCAGCGGGCGCGGGGTGGAGAGGAGGAAACAGGAGCTGGGAGGGCGTGGCGTCACCCTGTGATTTCTGGTTAGCTAATTTCTCTTCAGTCAACTCTCCTACTTACAGTACTACTTATTTATCTGTTATCATTCAGAGTAAAGTCTTACATGTATCCGAATAACTAAACAATACCCAAGTTTTTTATGAAGCATGGAGGGTTTTCTATTTGTACCATGTTTACATGGACTGAATGTGAAAATCAGGGTCCCCCGGATGCTTGTTGATTGCCTGCGTGAGTGCGGCTTTGAGACTCTCCAGGTCCCAGCTTTTAGGCTCTGGAGGAGAATAAGCCCCTGCAGAGTATATTCACCTTGAACGACACGATGCTTTTCAGATGCTCGATGTCCTCAAGTATACCATTACCTTGCTGCTCTGCTTTTGCGTTGCACTCCATAGTGAGCCTCTGAAGCTTGTGCATGGCCATGGCCTCGAACACGATGCAAATTGCGGATCGAGAGGAGGAAACAGGAGGGCGAGAGGGCACGGTGTCACCTTGCAATTTCTGGTTAGCTAATTTCCGGGCTCATGTCTAGCGAGTGCTACACAACTGAGGAGGAGGAAATTGCTGGTTAGTTAATTCCTCTTCAAACATCTCTCCTACTACTTATTTCTCTGTTTCCCCCATCATTGAGAGTAACCAAATACGCTTGCTGCTGATCGATATTAACACTTAGGATTACACAGTCAATTACATTTCTACTGCACACATCTAATCTAAAGCTACACATAAAAACTTGAACCTATGAAATAAACCACTATCCAACCCAGATTAAAGACCAGAAGCAGTTCTACAAATCATCATGGGCATTGTACTCGTACCCTTCAGCAAGTAAGGAGGAACGTCACAGAGTACAGCTACAAGTTTATAAACTGAAGTTTTGCTGGGATTTCTACAACAGAGTACAAGTACAAGTCCAGATTGTTAGAAGTATAAACGTAGAGATAAGGAGAAATAGAGATAAACTTAGTTTAAACACATAATATCTTGCCTTGTACTCCAAACCTCTACCCCTCGTGTACTTCTATATATACCCCTACGAGGGTCAGATCAATACAACACAATATTACCCATCCTACAATTTTCACATGGTATTAGAGCGGTTAGTCTCACGATGCCGATCCTAAGACCTTTCACATCTTCCGCAGCGCGCCGCCCCCGGGGAGATTATTCTTCTCTCCCCAGGGGCGCGGCATTCGGTCAATCAAAGATTCGACCGATTTCGTAGATTAGATCAATTCCAATTTCCGAAATTCTAGTAGATTGATTCGCCTTTCTTTTAGACACCAATAAATCCATCAACCCTCAAAATCCGGTTGAGAAAATTGCATAGAAATCCATCACTTCATGCCGTGTGCGCGGCTTCTATACGGCGGCGATTCAAGGCGGCGCTCCCTCGACGCCAACGGAGACGGCTATGCGTGGCGCTCTTCTCATCGACCAAGATCGACCAGCAACCCTCGCGCGGACCAGGCATGGCGAGCCTGCCGCGGAGGCGGATGCATAGACTCGCAGAACTCCATCAACAGATGCGCACGCAGCCTCTCACAACGTGGGACACGAAGCAACCAGGAGTCCGAGGTACGTGCATGCACTCAGATGAAGCTTCAGTCCCGTCTCGGCATACGCGTCTGCGGACGCACGAACTTGGAGCTCCGGCGGCTTGGATCGATCGGATCTCCGATCGTCGGCCGTGCCTACGGTCGTACACGGATCATCTTCTTCTGGTACGCGGATAACATCGACCCGACCTGCAACTGCATCGACACCAGCACCAATCAAACGACTACACCGAGCCCTCCTGCACCTGCATCGACCGCCGCCGCCGATCTGTACACGGCTACACTGACGCCCTTGCATCGAGCCGAACGACATCAAGTTGTACGATTACGTCAGGCTACTTCTTCGACACGACACGGCATCGACACCTCGTCGCCGTGAGGGACGCCTTCAAGCGACACATCGTCGACGCGCCGCCGTGATGCCATAGCTCACACTTCATCGTCAAGGTCTTTATCAACGTGGTCTTCATCAACATCTTCGTCGACACACCACCGCTGCCTTGTTCACAACATGGAAACCTAGCGTCCTCTGACAGACTTTCTGCAAGACGCGACCCTGACGACGGCAATGACCGCGTCACGACGACGGCATCGACTGCGTCATCCACGACAGCACGACTGCATCGACACGGCGTCACTACAGTGGCGACCCTACACGGCCACACGGTTCTGACAAAATCGATGTGTGCTTGATGGGCTTTCTCCGGTCTTGGCAAAACCGGTGGACTCATCCCCGACAGCACCCTCTGACATCCACAAGGTGCATCATCCACGTCTGCAGTTCCGTCATAGCGCATTTTTTTGCGCCTCCGGCTTTGTGCGGTTTCATCATCCACGACGACCACACCATCGACCACGACTACCTCGACCACAGCTACATCGACATCGACACACACGACCACGTCTACAGCAACACATCGGCGACAACTCCAGTCAACAGCGTCCGCGTCGTCACCAGCATCCACGCCACTCCCGTTGTGACTGCGGGAGGGAATAGAGGAGAGACAAGGGAAGCACCAGAAGGGGATGTAGTCACCACCGTAGATGTCGACCCATCAGAGACGTAGTGATGATGGCGCAGCGGAGAAGACGTAGTGTCGATGCCCTCAAGTATACCATCACCTTGCCGCTCTGCTTTTGCGTTGCACTCCATAGTGAGCCTCTGAAGCTTGTGCATGGCCATGGCCTCGAACACGATGCATATTGCGGATCGAGAGGAGGAAACAGGAGGGCGTGGCGAGAGGGCACGGTGTCACCTTGCAATTGCTGGTTAGCTAATTTCCGGGCTCATGTCTGGCGAGTGCTACACAACTGAGGAGGAGGAAATTGCTGGTTAGTTAATTCCTCTTCAAACATCTCTCTTACTTATTTCTCTGGAGGAGAGTAATTAACCAAAGACGCTTGCTGCTGATCGATATTAACACTTAGGATTACACAGTCAATTACATTTCTACTGCACACATTGAAAGCTACACATAAAAACTTGAACCTATGAAATAAACCACTGTCCAACCCAGATTAAAGACCAGAAGAAGTTCTGCAAATCATCATGGGCATTGTACTCGTACCCTTAAGAAAGTAAGGAGGAATATCAGAGTACAGCTACAAGTTTATAAACTAAAGTTTTGCTGGGATGTCTACAACAGAGTACAAGTACAAGTCCAGATGACAAACCTGTCGCACGTGAAACAAATAAAAATTAACTCACTGTCACCGCAGAAAAATGTTGAAATTATTCAGGGAAAGACCCTCATTGTTACAGTCCAGAAGAATAAAAACTCGAACCTGTGAAACAAACCACTGTCCAACCATCATGCGCCTTGTACTTGTATCCTTCAGAAAGTAAGGGAGTAGCATTACAGAGCACAAGTACATTTAAAAACTGAAGTTTTGCAGGGATTTCTACAACAGAATACAAGTGCAACAAATAAAAATTAACTCACTTTCACGGGAGAAAGCTGTTGAAATTATTCAGGGAAAGACTCTCATGATTACAGTCCAGTAGAATAGTAAAGTTTTACATGTATCGGAATAAGTAAACAATACTGAAGGCTTACATTTACCACAATAGTTTGACATTAGTAAAGACATAAATGTATCAGAAGAGCTAGACATCTTCATCTTTATTTAGGGGGTACAGACAAGGCACACAATATAACATATGCTTCTGAAGATCTTACATTTACCACAATAATTTGACAGTAGTGCAGTCATAAATGTATCAGAAGAGATAGGCATCTTCATTTTTTATTTAGATAGAGGTGCAAACAAGGCACACAATATAACATATGCTTCTGGTCTGGAGATCTTGCACACTGGTTAATATTCCAGAGCTCTCATTCAATAGGTTGCAGCACAAACTCCACCTCCTTCAGAGAAATTGGTTATTCTTCATCTGTTTTCTTTGCGAAGCCTGCCCACTTCACAACCACAAATACATAGACATGATCGTACACCTTGTCGAAGAGCCGGAAGTAAGCAATTCTCCATGTCTTCTTGAACAGCAGTGCACAAAACACCATCCAGAGCCCCACCACAAATCCCAGCACAAGCCCGAAGTAAAAGGTCAGTGGGTCAAATTCTTCCTTGCTGCTCTCGAGATCGCCATGGATGTAAGGATCATTTCCTGAACAATTCTTGTGGACAGGAGGGCCACAAAGTCCATTGTTGCCGATGTATATAAGTGAGGGGTTCTCAGCATTGAGGGTGTCAAGCTGGCGGCCAGATGGTATCCTTCCAGACAAACTGTTGTAGGACAGGTTCAGGTAGCTCAGAGATGTTAGACTTGACAAGCTCGAAGGGATTTCACCAGAAAGCTTGTTCTGAGATAGGTCGAGTGATGCTAATGACTGCATGGCTCCTATCATGTTCGGAATTTTTCCACTCAACTGGTTCGATGATAAATTCAAATTCATTAGTGCAGAAAGCAAAGTGATGTCTGTAGGAATTTCACCAGTCAAGGAGTTGCATGATAAATCAATGCCCACAAAATATGCAAGTGTTCTACCATAGATAAGCTGCTGCCCTTTTGTATTTACTGACAATATTTGTCCTAGGCGATCAGCTCCAATTGTGTACCTTGGAAAAACTATCATGTTTCTTTCGTATTCAACATCAACATGCATATCCGTTAATTCCTCTTGTAATGTTGTCATAAATGTCAGATTCGACAGATGCCAAGGTATTGCACCAGAGAAGCTATTGCCTGATAGATCCAAGTATTGAAGATACCCCAGCTTTGTTATGCCGACTGGAATATTATCGGAAAATTTATTGTGGCCCAGTATGAGAAAACGTAAGTTCACCAGCTTTCCTATCCATGTGGGTAATCTTCCAGAGAACTTATTCCATGCTAAATCCAAGAACTTCATATCCGTGTTGTTCTGCAAAAATGTTGGGATTTTTCCTGATAAACTGTTGTTGCCGAGTATAAGAAATTCTATGTTGAAGATGTCAAAACATTGTGGAATCTCACCCTCCAAAATGTTGTTCGACAAATCCAGATACGCCAGCTGTTGCAATTTGCAAATAGATTCTGGAATGTAGCCACCAATTTGATTTGAATGCATAGACAATACTTCAAGTTGTGAGGCTTCAAGATTTGATGGTATTGTTTCTGAAAAGGTATTGTTGGAGATGTCTAACTTGGTGATATTTGTTGGAAAGGTAGGTATTGGTCCAGTAAGCCGGTTCGAACCGAGATAGAGTTCTTTGAAAGCCATGCCATCCATATGTGTTGGCAAGCTGCCACTTATTTGGTTGTTAGAGATGTTCAGATAGTTGGCATGTGAAAATGCGGACCAAAACCAATCAGGAAACTTGCCCTTTAGAGCATTGCTTGAAATGTCAAGTCCATTGGTTTTCAGCCGCTGAAGCCAAGGTGGAAACAAAGGACCCATCTGGCAAGATGCAAACCCTGCAGATTCCAGTGTAGAGGGAGGACGCCAATCTGAATTTAGTAGAATGTTCAAATTGTTGGAAGACAAGTCTATTTCCTTTAAACTTGTTAGATTTGCGAAGTGTTCTTCTGTGATCACACCAGTAAATCTATTGTTGCTTAGGTCCAGAGAAATCAGATTAATAAGAGAACCTATTTCAATGGGTACACTTCCGTTGAGATGATTTCTGGACATGTCAATTGTAGTCAAATACATCAATTTCCCAACCTCGGCTGGTATACTTCCAGTGAGGAGATTGTTGCTGAGGTCAAGGGAGGCTAGAGATGTCAAATTCCCAAGCTGTGTTGGTATAGATCCAGTAATTTCGTGATTGTTGCTGAGGTCAAGGGAGGTTAGAGATGTCAGATTCCCAAGCTGTGTTGGTATAGATCCAGTAATTTCGTTGCCCCAGAGTTCAAGAGTAGTTAAATACCTCAAATTCCCAAGCTCGGCTGGTATACTCTCGGTGAGGCCATTACAGTATATGCACAAAGAAGTCAAAGTAGTAAGGGCCCCGAATTCAGTTGGTATGCTTCCAGTGAGGTGATTGTTGCTGAGATCAAGAGATGTTAGACATGTCAAATTCCCAAGCTGTGGTGGTATAGGTCCAACAAGGCTGTTATAGGAGATGCTTAGTATGCTCAACCTGGTGAAATCACTGATAAAATTTGGCAGAGTTCCAGTGAAATTGTTGCTAGCTAAATCCAGCTGCTGCAATTTTTTCCGTGTGCATTGTGGCAAACTCTTCATCAACACTGCTATGTCTCCATTTATCCCATTAATGGAGATGTCAAGGATTTCCAAACTGCAAAGATTCTCCAGGTTTCCTGTCATCCTCATGTCCGTGGTCCCGTTATCTGAAATATCAAGGACTTGAAGGTAGGTCATGTTTCCTAGTGTGTCAGGCAACTGACCGGATAGTCTGTTCTCCCCAAGACCGAGGTACTTGAGGCTTGTTGCTTTCCAAAACCAACCAGATCCAAGTGAGTGCTCAAAATCATTTCCTGACAGGTCAAGCTTCTCAAGTTTTGTGAGATTAAGGTGTGGAAGTGATTGGTTTGCACTATCAAGTTGACACCAAGAAAGATCAATAACCCTCAGAGGCGGAATCATATTCAGGGTATGAGGCCATTCAACTATCCCTGAGAGCGTCACACCACTCATGCTAAGGAACTTCAGGATATGCAACTTTGTTAACCAGGTGATGTCTGTTGAGTACATCCCAGGATAACCAGTATCTTGGCCAAGGTCAAGATACTGCAACTTAGACAGATTACCAAGCTGAGAAGGCACTCTACCATTGAATGGTATGCCAGAGAGGTTAAGGTATCTCAAGTTCACCATGGAGCCCAGAAAATGAGGAATTTGTCCATCTGGCCCTAGTAAACAGTTCATGCTAAGGTCCAGGTGCTCTAGATGCTTCAAGGAAAGTAGAGAGGGACTTATCTCGCCGAACAAAGCATTGGCATCTTCATCTCCATAGGCGTAGAGCGTCACATTCGGATTGCGAAGTCGAAGCTTGATGACATGGCCTGTTCGGTTGCTGCAACTGACTCCTCTCCACCGGCAGCAGTCCTGTCCTTGCCAAGAGGCGAGGAGGTTGGTGTTGTTGCTTGTAACGCCCTCTTTGAAGGAGAGCAAGGCGGCCCTCTCGGCCGGGATGCAGCCGCCGCCATGAGCATGCTGATGCTGGGGTTGTAGTGCACCATTTGTGAAGAATGGAAATATGCTTATGCTGATGAGAATGAGCAAGAGATTGGTTGTTGGAGGCATGCTGGAAGAACGAGCTGTCTAGCTGGGGAAGCAGAGCCCAGTTTTATTTGTATTTAGGTACTTTGAAGAGCCATACTAGCAGAGATGTTTGTCCAGAATTCCTAGACTCACGGAGTCTACGGTCAAAGTCTTGTTCATACAAATTTGTGGCCAGAGTGTGATGGGAGTCACCAGCCACTCGACTAGTTTCCTGACTGCAACCACACGGTACTGTCGAAGTCACTCAATTATGTTGTATGTGAAGCGTGCACAGTGGAGCAGGGCTAGTTACTATTCCAAATCTGACCCTTTTTTGTTTACAATTTCGTTGGAAATCTATAGTTTTAACTTTAAAAAACTGTTATGTTAGTCTAGTTGCCCCTGTTTTATTTTTTCAGTTAGTTTTCTGAATAACTCTGGAACGTGTTGTGTACACGCTCAGGTTCAGTTTAGACAGGCTAGTTTTTTCTTCAGACTTGGTCATAGTTTCCTTTGTTTGTTTTAATCGTGGGTGTACTGGCCACGACTCTGTCCGTGGGATGGCGCAGGTCAATCGTGTCGTGGGCTTTGCATGCTGCGAGTTTGTTACACAGAGAATAAAAGGAAGAAATGAAAAGACACAAAGATTACGCTCGCAAAACTCTGTCTCCTCTCTGCTTTTACTGTTCGTCAGTGTTCGTTGAGACTGAATCCACCCAACGGGTGTGTGTGTGTGTGTGTGTGTGTGTTGATCTGGGGCAGCTCTAACACAAACAACATATAAGAGCAGAATGAATGGATTGAAAAGTGCCCAAGTAGCACAAAATAACATCAGTCTGTAGCCCCAACGGTATCTGTCCGGATTTCGAACCGTGCTCGAAAGCACAAGCAGAAGAAAGAAACGCTGGCAAAGGAAAGCAGTGAGTTGCCGCATTGTATGGAACATTCATGCAACTGTTAGTGAGTGCTAGACCATGGATTGTGCTTTGCAACTTACTTGATGGCATATTTAAGCAGGCCTCTCCCTCCCTATTTTGAAGCCTAAAATTTGGAAGGGTTCTGTTTGGAGAAACATCAAGAATCTGATCTGTGGAGCACTCCCAAGTCACAAGTTCATCAAAATGCAATGTCTTTCTGGCTAATGAAAGGAGTTGCTGCACCAGTGGCTTGTGGTGAGCTGTTTTCCTGTTGCATATGTAGTGCAGATTTCCCTCCTTGACCTGCTAGGCTCTGAACTACCACGATGCTAGGCTCTGAGCTATATTTATATGTTTCTACTATGAGGAACTTGTAGCCAAGTTACAGTAAGTACAAGGCTTGATGATGGCTCCCGAACAAATGATTATTGACCAGTACAGTATTTCCTTTTATGTTTATATAAACTGTTTGTTACATGATTGTTTTGCCAATTTGGACCATTTGTTAAATTATTCTTGTTCAAAGATTAAGCATGGCCATTTCTGACGGTAGATTTTCTGAATATGGAACAGGCAGCGAATATGATACATCGTTTTGCTACGCTGATGGTTTTTTCTTCCTTGCAGTCAGCAAACATTTTATTGCGGCCAAAAAGAAAAAAAAATTGAGATCTGTTGTGGGTACCTTATCCACGTTGGTTCCATACACAACCACACAGCTCGTAGAAGCTGGTCCTGTCAGCACTTGTCTAACAAAAGACTGAAGATGCCTGAAATGTCGAATCTGGGGGCTGTCCGGCATAGATCGTTTCGTTACACTGTTACCGTTAAGGCGCTGCCATCGTTAGTCACTTAAGCTAGTTGCTTAACTTGATTCTACCTGTAAAGAGGCTGTCCGGCATACAGATCAAAGCAAAGGAAAGTAGATCCCTTCAACACTTGGATGAACAACAACTTATAATCCTTTCATGGAATCTCTCTAAAATTTATTCTTGTTCATAGCCAGAATAGTTGGATCTTCAAGTCAGAAGCTTTGCATTTTAGTCCCCCTTTAACACAATTCACACAAATACATCACAAGGGACCTTTAATCTCCTAATGTTAGCAAAAACTGAAGTTTTATAGACCTTTTCCTTTTCCAACCTTGTAACTATTTGTACATAATTGAAAAAAAACACCATAGAACGGTTGTGCTACGGCCAGGGCCTCAAGAAAAAAATCACACCATGAAGCAAAAAAAATCACAATAAGAGGTGCTTTCCACACCCTGCACCGGCTTCTTGCCCCCTCCCCACAGATATAAAATACTCAAGTGTAAGCCTAATTATGGGAATTAAAATGCCGCTGAGTTATATACTCAGACCTCTTAAGAATAAACGAAACAGTAGGTGATAACATCAACTGTTGTTCTCTAGCGGTGGGCATCTTGCAATAAGAAATTCTAATTATTTGAAAACTAGCAGATAACATCGACGCTACTAATTGTGAGTTTCCATGTTGTGGGGTTCTTTTAGGTGCTTCTGAATGTTTGAATGGAGTTGAAACCTACTCCAGAAACTAAACTGCACATAACCTTTTGTGCAGCTGTAGGTATATCCGGATGTAAGCTGGTTGACTTTGTTACTTACAAATAACATTCTCAAGAGATGGTTGAGACATAACAAATGTGAAAAGCCCCCGCAAAAAGGAAAAAGGTCGTATGTGACAATTGATTACTGCAAAATCTCATGATAAACCAAAATATTACACATGGTGCATTGTGAAACTAATATAAAGTTATCAAGCAGCAGACCGGTTTCTTCCATGACATGAAACAAGCGAACAATTCGATGGTGTAACAAACAAACAATTCGGATACAGGTAAAACTTGCCCTGCACTCCATTAAACTCCAGAATGATGCCTGCAGTCTGCAGATCACAACAACAAAATTACAAATCCTCACGACACATGAAGGGATAGAGACAGCCCCGGTATTCCCCGTTCAGCTGTTGCACACGCATGCTCCGGAGATGCACCGCAAAATAGTCGTACTTGTCCATCTTGAAGATTATCTTGAAGAAGACGTACCCATTTCGTGAATGCACGTTGCTAGCGCTCCTGACGACATCGGCCGCATCAACGTCTGCGACCAGCCCCGTGATGATCGGATATAGCTCCACTTCTCTTTCCAGGTTGCACTGTTTGAAGACACGCGTAATACTGCCCTCTGGCGGCTTCGGTAGGCTGTAGAGCCTGAGCACGAGGAACTTATTTATGCACACGAACCACAACTTCTCATCGTCTCCCCTGCCATAATCCACGAACGCGCCACACTTCGGCGTCACCAACAAAGAAGTCCCCCCTGTGCGCATATCCAGCATCAACGTCATCATGACATCCGTCATGTGCATGCATCCAATACTCTTGAACAGTGTGGCGCCAGCCCGAGCTGCCTGTCCACCATGAGTACCACCAATGCACCAGCCGCGGGTCCTCATACTGCTGGCCCGATAAGGAAGGGTGCTCCAGCTGCTGTCACCAGCGGAGCCACCCGAGTGCACAAATGTCTGGTAGATCCACTCACCATGGTGGTCACCAGGTACCGTCGCCACCCACACCACCTTGAACGACATATCCGAGGCTCCAGGTCTGAGCAAACGCCTATTACTGGCAGCTACTGCATCATCACTCAAGATGGCAGCGCCGAAGAATAAGCGATACTGGTTGTTTGCCGCCGGAGGGAGTTCCTGCAATTCATGGGTGATAGGGTTGTATACCGCGAAGACCAGCATGACCGGCTCGTGAATGATGCGTCGTTCATGGCAAAGGAGGAGAAAGTGCCCCGAGGAATCCACGATGAACCACGGGCCACCAGGTAGAGAGAGTGGAAGGTTTGCTTGGATGTTGTTGGTTTTCTCAATGAGTTCGGGCGATGCAATCTGGTCGATGGGAGTAAAGAGCATGAAGCGAATATCCGGATCTTCTAGTGAGATTTCCTCTTGAAAAACGCCACAGAGCATTGGTGGCCGGTGAAGGCGAAGGATGCCACGGTCAGTGATCAAATTGGACCATGTTGAGAACCAAACTGGCCGGCTCGCGCTAGGGTTCCCCCGCTCCCCTCCCGCCGCCGCCGCCCCTCCCGCCGCCGCCGGCCGTTGGCCCCGCCCCCCCGCCTCCGCCCCCTTCCGCCCTACCCCCCCTCCTTCTTGGCCGCCTCGCGCCGCCTCCCCGGGAGGTGGCCGGGGTGGAGCTC